TAGACTCCAGATGCACCTTTGGGCTGTTTACCTTTTGGTCTTTTTCCCTTTTGGGCTGTTGTGTATGGGCCTCAGAAAGGCTGTCGTTCCATTGGGCTTTTGTTTCTAGCCCTTTTAACCTACCTTTCTCTCTTGTCATCCCTTTGAAGAGTCTTGCACGTTATTTTGTAGACGGTTTTGGAAAGTCAAAACTCTCAGAAGCTTTTTTTGGCCATTTTACAACTGTTTTGCGCGGACCTCCGGGAAAGTTAAAATTTGGCGTGAAAGTATCTCACTTCCTGAAAAGTCTGAACAGTTGGGCACCATCTAGATCTACTATTGAACAAAACGAAGACGAACACAATAGATCTATTAGATTCTAAAAACACAATCAAACAGTGCGCCCAGGAAATGGATCTGAACAGCTATGTTGCTGTTTGGATCTTTAGCCCTGGTCATACAAGAGTTCAAGGCAATGAACGTGCTGATAAGCTAGCCAGCCATGCTGAGATTGGCGGCACCATGCAATTAAAAGGAGGACTTCCTTAACGAGCGACCACTATTAAATATTGATTGTACCCTATGGAGTATTTCTGCGGAAGGCAATGTACATTGAAAAACATAATTTAAGGGGGGGGGGGGCTACACCCCCAAAATCAAAATTCGGCTCAAAATCATGGAATTTAAGTTGTAGGCATTTTTAGCTTCCTCAGCCTCTCCTACAACTATTTCATGACATAAGAACCCCCCAAAACCGTATTTTTTCCCACACCGGGCATGTTTGTAACCGCCATTTCCTCATAAAGTCAGTATTTTATTTTCTGTATCGGCCGTTTTCTCAAAATGCGACTTTTCTCTATACTTTTTTAAATAACTCCACTATTCTTCATCCAATCTTCATGAAATTTTCACAGAATGAAGAGAAGAGGTCATACTAAAAATCTGTCTGTTGAAATGTTGATATATGGAAAACATTTTTGTTGGTGGTGTCTGGAGTGTGGATTTTCACGGATTTTTCGCAAACTTGAATGCTACCTCAGGAAAAAATTCATTAAAAATTTTCTAATTCGATTAGGAAAAAAACAACGGACAAATTTTTCGATCTAATGTTTGTAAACACGCATGCAAAAAAATAATCAATTTCCATGAGCAATATGTGCGGTATTCATTACGTAAGACATGTCAATAAAATCCAGCATGGCCGCCGTAGCCACGGAAACGAAATTTTTTTCTCAAATTTGATGGTGGATTTTAGAATCCTTACTGTGCTTGTTAAATGTTTTTAATTTGGTAAAATTTGATCAACTATTAAGCGAAATAGCCTTCAGGTATAGCGCCCCCCCTACCCCTTAATCCCTATCAAAACTGAACATAAGCAAGTCAGTACAAAAACATAGAGCTCTTTCGAAATAGGAAAGTGTCTGCCTTAAGGCAAGGGGCCCTGCGAAGTAAAGAAAACAGTCACATACATAAAAATGAAGCCTGGAAAGAGTTAGGCGCCCCCGGGCTATCCTAATCCATCCTCCTTCTTTTCTTTGTATGTTACTCTCTTGTCACACCCC